GGGGGGGGGGTGAATGGGTGCCATAGCAACGAGTCCACCAATTCTAATCCCACATTGCTTCCTAGATGAAAGCACACTGCAAACTGTGATGCTTTTGTTACAGTCACTTTATTTGCAAATATATATATATATGTGCAGGACATACGTGGAGGCAAACAGGCATCCTAACATGGCAACAGGTCCCCAAAGAGAAGGGCTTTGCACCTCGGGATGTTTCACCTTTAGGCAACCCGGAAGGGTGTGTGTTCTCTCCCTTTTTCTACTCATTTGGGTTTCAGAACTGCTCTCATAGACCCTCTGCTGAATTACCTGTTCTAGAACAGGTGTAGCCATTTAAAGGAGTCCTTCCAAGGCTCTTTTGGGGAAACCTTTGACTCATCCGACATCACTGATAGACCTCTGAACAGAAAACTCACAACAATACGCTTGGAAGGTGTGGTTCAGGCAGCGCTGGGGTGGGAGCACACAACTTCTCGATAATCGTGGCTCTGAGAATAAGCTGTTGTCAACACCAAGGCTTTACACTTGAAGGCAGAGGAAAGCCATTCTCAGCTGCTCTTTCTGAACCTCCTTTCAACATGGACTCCCATAGCCTTGGCCTGTGAAAAATTAAGCTTTGGCTTGGTATGTGAAAGCAAAGGAGAAAATGGCAATAGTTTGCCTAGGTCAGATTTTATTCCCCTAAAGCAGAGGTGCAGAGCCTCAAGCCTGGGGCCAAATTGGGCTGTTCTAGTGTTTCAAGCTGGCCTTCTGGGGCTCACACACCCTTCCCCACTAGTCATGGGGTGGTTTCCTGGGTTTTGTGCAGCCCTTTCCCCATTGTGAAAAGTTGAAACACTGCTAGGGCTGGCAGAAAGCGCTTGCAGCTACAACATGCTTGGGGGGGGGGGTATTCTTGGTTCTGCCCTCATTATCACCCCACCTATAAGCAGGTAGTCCCCGAGAACTCCTCTAAGATGGAATTTGGCTGTTAGGCTGAATGAAACCCCCCTTTGGAGGAGTACATCTCATGTGCAGAATCTCTTTCCAATTGACCCTGAAGTCCACAGAGCTTCCAGGACTGAACTGGACTTGATGGAAAGATTTGGCATTCCTCCGCTCTAGGAATGTAGGGGTGAGTAGGTGCTGCAACTGCCCATCTTCCTGTAGAGGTACATCTTTTGTACTCCCAAACTTCAGTGCCCCCTCCCGCCCACATTAGAGAGACGGACCTGTGACTCACGCTCTGCATTATATCACCGATCGTCAGTGCAGGAAACCATACATGAGCAAGCAAAGCAGCTGCTTATAGCCACTCCCGGCAACTGTAATGGGTTTGAGGAGGCGCCTTGGGCAGGAGGCAGTGCTGGAGGGGCCGCTTGGAGACGGAGCGATGGAATGGTGATGTACAAAGATGGATGAGGAACTGTTGTGAACAGCTCAGTTCTGCCCCCTTGGCAGGGTTCGCTCTCAGTGGTGACTTGGCATCCGTCACACGAAAGAGCACAGCATCAGCTTGTCCCTCTTCTCTGACGCAAAAGACTACAGGATATTGTTTCAATCACTTACTTCAACCTCAGGGACGTTCTCTTATTAGGTTGTTCTTCCCCAACCAGCCAGTCTGAAGCACTTTCGCCGGTCACTTGATTAGCAGCCGTCCTGCACATCCTGCCCCATGCTGGGGTTTCTTGATTTTGTTTTTATGGGCAGACAGAAACAATTTGCACAATAAACGTCAGTTTTGCTAGACACACATTCAAACCCACAAAAAACTCGATCAGTAATTGAAATAGATGCATATGTACTTCAGCCTTGAAAGGAAGGGAAGAAAACAAAGAACATTTATACTTTTCTGAAAGCAGCATGTGCCAAGACTACCTGAGATGGCATAACGATTGGCGTACATTTTGCTGGTTCTCACATGCTCACACCGTCAGGGCTTCTTTTGTACAAGTCCGCATTGCTAGCCACCCTTGCTAGGGGTGGGCCGATGCTGGGAGCCATGGCTCATTTGAGGTGGGTTGTCTTGCCCAGTTCTCATCTCATGACTGGCAGCAGGCCAACTTGCACAGGCTTGTGCAACTTTTCCCACAGGCTCCATGAGTGGCACTTGGTGCAATTTCCATAAGTCACACGTTTTGCACTGATGGGAACAATGAAACTAGCTCTAGTGCAGTCTGCACATTATGATAAAATGGCATGGTTTTCAGCCTGCAGTTTGTGCAAATTTAACCACCCAGACAGAGGTACCAAGTACAGCCCCTGTAAAAGGGGGGGGGGGAGGGCAGACCCTCCCATTGGACAGCTCAGGAATTGTCCAAGAAATACAAGAACATTGTCCATACCGAACCAGATCCGTGCTCCATCCAGTCCAGCACCCCATTCAAACAGTGGCAAACTAGCTGTCCACAGGACCTCCCAAGCAGGACGGGTGCATACATCCCATGTGCCTGCGCTCCTCAGCAACCTCTAGTACAGAAGACAGCACATAGCTTCTTTCTCCATGGTTTTGTCCAGTCCTCTTTGCAAGCCAGCCAGATTGGTGGGTATCACAACTGCTTTTGGCAGGGAATTCCCTAATTTAACTATGTGTCCTGTAAAAAAACAAGTACTTCCTTTTATCTGCCCTGTACCTCCCACCAATCAGGTTCATGGGGTGATCCTTCGTTCTTCTATTATGCGGAGGGAGAAACATGTCTTCTCATTCACTTTTTCCGCAAGACACATAATTTTAACACTTCTATCCTGCCTGCCCTTACTCATCTTTTCCACAAAAGGGCAATCGCTCTAAATCCTTCATTTTAGATGTTCGGTGCACTTTCTCCAGCTCAGTAACTGCCTTTTTCAGGCGAAGCAACCAGAGCTGTACATAATAAGCTAAGTATGATTGCACCTAAGAGTTCTGTAAGAGGCGTAGGGCCTTGGCAGTTTTATTTCCAATGCCTTTCCTAAAGCCTTCTTCGCAGAAGCTGTGCATGCAGTCAGCGTGTCCGCCACGATCCCAAGATCCCTTCTTGGTGCGTCACTGCTAGCTCAGGTCCCATCAGCCTGCACTTGAAGTACTTGGCCCTGTACGCCTTTGTTTACATCGAACTACATTTGCTACGCTGATGTCCATATTCTCCCAGCTCCCTTTGGAGCTCCTCACAATCCCCGTTTGGTTTTAACCATCCTTAACAGTTTGGCACCATCAACTTCCTGCTTACTCCTAATTCTAGATGATCTATAATTAGGTCAAAAAACATGGGTCCTAATGCAGGACCTTGTGCGACCCTACTCGTGGCAACCTTTCACTGGGATAATTGAACTTTAATTCATTCCCACTCTCTTTCTGTTTTGGGGGGCCCCCACCCCATTTTATCTGATGACTGCTATGTTTGCACAGGAGCTTTTGGTGAGGAACTTGGCCAAAAGACTTTGGGAAGTCCAAGTAAACAGCATCTACCAGATCTTCCTCTGTTCACATGCAATTCTGTCTCTGTGCACAAACTGGGTAATCTCACCCCGCCATTCTATTACCTGCTCCAGTTCACAGCTCCCTTTGACAACGGCATCATACAAGGAAATTGACCAGGCAAGACCATCGCTATCGGACACCCCTAAGGGTGTACTTGTATAAATGGACAAAATTATGTAAAAATGCATTTGCACGATTTTCTGGACCTTTCTTGCAATGTGCTGAACGAGTGCTGGTTGCTCTGAAGTACAGCTCGGGCTTCAGCCAAGAGAGAAGCTGCCAGTGGTGTCAACAGGGGCGATACTGGGAAGAGCAGCGGGCGGCGGGGCAGGTGCTCTTCCATCCCGGCTACCATGATGCAATCCTTGTTCACCGTCTGGAATAACATGACTACCCATGAGGATCAAACAGCCCCCAGAGCAGGCCATGGATGGCCGGGGGTGGGGGGCTTGTTGCCAAACCATAAGCCACCCTGCAGGAAGTGGTCTGTGTCTGGGTGGGACTACAACCCATCTGGCTACTTGCACACAGTGGATTCCTAGGTCATGTGAACCAAGCTACCGGTGATCAATGTAAGGCAGGCAGTGAGCAAGCCACCTGGATCCTGGCATGGAGCGGCCTAATATGGTCGACATAAGGTTGACTTTTCTATTTATTAGAAAAGTTCCGAAATTGTCCTTTTCTAATAAATATCTAACCTTGCCAAGGATCAGGCTTAACTAGTTAGAGTGATTAAAATCTTTTGGTCAGCTGAAAAGCTCTCTGGCCCAGCACTCTGCAGCCAACTACATTCGTGCGATGCTCGCTCTAGAATCAAAACACTGTGGACTGAAAGTTCCTTGAAAGCTGTCGCTGTCCCTTTGCTGGTGACAACAGGAAAGGGTGAATGCCTGCCTTGTGTCAGGCAGCCTGACCCCGGTAAGACAGAATGCAGAGTCGTGCGGGCAGAAGGCTGCAATCTTATAAACATACCCAGGCAGAAGAAAGGCTGATTGAGCTCAGCGGGAATTATTTCTGACCAGAGATGTCTAAGTGCGCACTGCACATTGCTGATGAGCACGGAGATGCATGCATTGACAGGAGCTGGGACGTTCCTCTTCAGCAAGGTTTATGTGTTCAGCACTTGTGAATTCAGACTGCACAAGGGTGGACGGAGGGAGCAGCATGTAGCTTCCTTTGATTTTCAGTCTCCCTCCTTTTGTAATCAAGTTTCTAGCCCTTATGATTGCAAAAAGTCAGTTTGCAGCTGAATGAGAAATTTCTTGGGATGCTAGTGAGATTAAGTTTGAGCAAGATTTTCCGGTCTCTTCTGGTGGCTATTAGAAGGCGGGAAATGCTTATCTTTCTCTCTCTCTCTCATGAAACACAGATGCGTTAATTTTGCAGGTTTTATGCAGCTCACAGAATCTGGTCTCACAGTACCTTGCTGCAGACTTTTAAAAAATGCACAGTGTACACAGGCCAGTGCGCTTCTTCCTCCTCCCCTCCTTAACGCACGACAGCACCCTCATTAGCCACGGCTCAGCAGCAAGAGCCCCGCTGCCCCAGGCCACCAGGCACGTTCCAAGAGGGCAGCGTGTCTCTCAGACGTTGGCTGCAGTCGGTGCCTCCTCAAAGGCGGTCCTGAAGACCTGCAGCAAGGACCTCCGCACCGCATCCTGGAACTCCTGGCCCACAAAGACGTACAGCAACGGATTGATGCAGCTGTTGAACATGGCCAGGCACTTGGAGAGGGGAATGGCCACCAGGCGCACGGCATCCGGCACGGCATCCATGGAGATCCGGGCCAGGGCCAGGGCGTGGTAAGGCAGCCAGCAGAGGAAGAAGAAGAGGACCACCCGGGAGACTACCAGGAAGGGCTTGCTGGACTTGTTGAGCTTCTTCTTGTGCATGGTCACCATCAGGATCGTGTAGGATATGGAGATGACCAGCAAGGGCAGGAGGAACTGGTAAAGAAAGATGCAAATAGTGAGAACCTCGGCTTCCTGCCAGTCCTGGAAGACATCCAGGTTGTTACAAGAACTCCGGTTGTTGTTCTCCACAGAGACCTCGGTGAAGAAGTAAGAGCTGGGGACAAAGAAGGCCAAGGACAGCAGCCAGAGCAGCCCACACGCAGCCCACATCAGGCGCGGGGTGCGGTAGTTCTGGCACCAGACCGGGGCCACCGCCAGCACACAGCGGTCCACGCTGATGGAGCTGAGCAGCAGCACCCCGCTGCAGACGCTCAGCCCAAAGAGGCCGTTGGCCACCTTGCAGGCCACCGACCCGAAGGGCCAGTGCAGGTCCAGGGCCAGGTTGAGCACCGTGACAAAGATCAAGGAGGTGGAAGCTAAGTCCGCCAAGGCAAGGTTGAAGAACCAGACCGTGTTGGATGTCCAGCGGAGCTTCCAGCCCGTGACCCACAGCACCATCCCGTTCCCAGTCACTCCGGCCAGGAAGATGAAGCTGAAGATCACCCCAGTGACGACCTTGACAGTGTTGCGCACGGAGCTTTCCCCCAAGGGCAGGGGGGAGGAGGAGCCATTAGCTGTGGGGTCTGCTGACATTTCCCTGCCAAAAAGAGAAAGGGGGGACCCTATTAAATTCTTACTCTTCCCATTGTAAATCTAATAGTGCTCTCTAGGCTGTACAAGTGCAAGAAAGCTGGAGACAGGGATGGGCAGGAAAGGCAGGCAAGGGAGGAACAGGGCAATAATATGGATTTTTCTCAGGCATGCGCACTTGAGTGGGATTGCAGAGGGTCATGGGGATGATGGGGTCTGTAGTGCAATACATCAGGAGGGGAAGTGGGTTGGGGAATACTAAATTAGGCATGTAGAGAAGCCCCAGATCTGCTACACCTCTGATCTAGATTTGGGCTAAGACAGGCCCTCCTGGAGGCTCCATCCACCTTTCCATGATCCCCAGAAGGCTTGGCAGCTACCTGGTTTTGTGCCTTTTCTCCCCCGTCTCCATCCTAAAAGGCTGAAATGTCTCACTTAAGACTGCTGCAGGTGGCAAGAGCTAAAACGAGCAGGGTTGGGATTTCTCGTTTTCGTATTTTTGGCCCTAGCCCTTTTCCTTCAGCTTGTCACCACTGGAATTGGGTCCCAGAGAGCTTCCCTGGCATGGAATTTGGCTCTTGGGATGAAAGGAGTTCCTCGTCCTGCTTATCATGAAGGCCACCCCAATGCGCATTGCATTGCCTTGCATGGGGCAGAGAAGGACTGCTCCCGCCTGGAACTCTCTGGCTCTGGCTGGCAAGCCTCGGGGTCTGAGCACAGCCCCAAAACTGCCGCCACCACCAACAAAAGCCCAAGGCACCGCAGATCTCACAAGCCGGAGGTCTGTACCCATCCAGAGTAGGCAGTGAGGCTCTGTGGCTCCCTTCAGTGGGAGGATCCGGAGAAGTGGGGATGCTTTGCTGCTGCCCTTCCAGCAACCGACCGGAAAGCAAGCCCCATCGAGGCACGGGGAGCTGCTCAGCCCCACAAGTGTGCATGAGCGTGACACTTCCCACACACTTGCCACGTGGGCATGGGCCTGCTGGTCTCTGGGGTGCCTCGTACATGCTGAGCTTTCAGCATAATTTTTGCCCAGGATCTGTAGGGCTGCAAGAGGGGCTCTTTGTCCTCAGGACAGCTTCTCAACCCTGCCTTGCGTTCATCGTGGCTGGGTTCAGACAAGACAAGACAAGGCCCATGGACTGAACTGTGAGCCGTGGCTGCACTCAGCCGCACTAACAAGCCATGGTTTGCTCACCAGGAACAACCCCTGGTTAATTCTGTGGTGAATCGTAGCTTTGCTATCTTGCCTGGGTTTGGACAATATGGTTTAAGCAGCAGCCTACCCTAAGACCATGAATGCAAGCTATTATGGCGCCACAGGAAGCCATCAGATACTGAGTCCGACCCCAGGTCCACCTGGCGCAGTATAGGAGATCCTGACTGGCAGCCATTGGTCTCCAGGGCCTGGGGCTGGAGTTTTCCCGGCCCTGCCTGGGGATGCCAAGGGTTGAACCTGGGGCCCTTTGCATGCAAAACAGCTGCTCTGAGCTCCAGCCCCTCCCCTGCCAGGGCTTATAGGTGGAAGGGGGGACCAGCAGCCCTCCCTGTGCTCTAGACAGGCGAGGCAGATCTACCGGTGAAGAGGGAGCTGGGGGAGAGGGGGAGCCGTCTGGGTGCACAGACTGGGGGAGCCAGGGCTCCTGGGTTTTCCTCCCAGGCAGCCGGTGGACTTCAGCTCAGCTCCTCCCCACGCACCCACCACCCTGCTTTTCTGCTTTTCTGCTTCTCTCCAAATTCTCAAGGGCAGTTTCCGTTGCTCTGGTTACAGCATCAGTTTGAGATGGCGAGGGCTATTACACTGAACGGAGGGGAAAGAAGAAGGGGCTGCATCACTGAGCAGGCTTCCAGGTGATGCCAGCTAGTTGCCATGGGATTGGAAGAGGTTTCGTTGCCAAGAGATGGAGCTGGGGGGGCGTCCCAACTGTAAAGGGTTCAGGGGCCAGCGGGGGCAGCTAGCCGGGTGCGAGGGCCACTAAGAGTGGGTGTGGGGGCAGACACGCATACCTCATTGCACATCCTTCATCTGAGCGGAGACGGTCCTGCCTAGCCCTGAGGCTAATCAGGTATGAACTCCATCATTAATTAGGTCTGAATAGAACGTGGGGGGGGGCAAGGCAGGCTCTTCACTTTCAAATTTGCAAGTCAAAACTGAACTGGAGGAGGGCGGTGAGACTCTAGATTAGAAGTTGCGTGGCAACTCTACCCATTGGCGACTCTGCCTCAGGCTGGTGCAAGCAGTGGCTCTCCAAACACTGGAATAGGTTTCCCTGCTCCTGGGCCAGGCATGTGAGTTTTTGAGATCACAGGCAGCTTCCCATTTTGGGGGCAGCTTTTAGCTCAGGGGTAGGGGGACAACCAGAGGACCCTGGGGCATCAGCCTAATTTCATGCAGCCCTTCGCTTAATTTCAAAAAGCTTCTGCAAGCAACCTGTTCAGATTGATTTGCCAAGAGTGATCTATCCTACTTTAGCTGCAGAAGGGAGAGGCAAAAGAGAGGCCTGGTTTGTATATTAGGACCCAAAGAACAGGCCGAATATGTATTGTTGAATTGTCATTACATGCAGATCTTGCACTATGGCTTGTTCACCATGAACAACCCAGAATAACAAACCCATAGGTCTCTTTCTGGCTTGTTCAATTGTAATAATGGGTAATAACAATGCTTTATTAAATCCTTATTTCTAGTACAGTAATAGTTTTATAAAGCAATGCAATGGTCACAAGATTCTGTGCAAGCTTTTGAGTTCTTCAGCACCCATCATCAGGCAAGACTGAAAATAAAGCAAAACTACCCCTAACAACAAACCATGGGGTATGGTGGGGAGAAAATCATTGGCAACCCGTGGATTTTGCATTTGGTTACAGTCTTAAGAGGAGAAGTGGAAAGGGCTGCAGGCATTCAGGTTAGGCTGCTAGGAAGAAGCAAACAGTAAATCTGCATATGAAAATATAAAACCCAGTCGCTTATTCAAAACCATTCTATTCTTAGGTGAACCACGCAGAAACTTTGTTAGGTGCAAACATGAGCACACAGAAATAAGGTAGATTATTTCAAAAGGTGTACTAGGCTAGCGGAGAAAGTCAACAAAAACAACATGGGGTAGTTTTACCAAGTGGTTGGAGGGGATTGTGTCCTCGGAGAATAATGTCCTGGCTTCAGGTAGTACCAGATCATCGTCACCCAGTGTAGGATTCTGCCAGGTATTCTTCAGGTCACACAAAAAGCTAAGGCAGCCATGTTGGGGACTCCATAAAACAGGGCTAAAATCCCTGTTAGCACAATATCTCAATGAGCCAAAGTCACAAAACACTACAGGAGCATTTAAGTTCTCCATCAGGCAAGACAGTAAACAAAGCAGAAGGCAGGAAGAGGAGAATGAAAGTAGCAGCTGTTAAATTATTATTTACCTATTGATAATGATATTAAGATGAGCCCAGCATTTAGCTTTTCGGATGTGGAAAATCTGTTCAGATGTCAAACGGATGAGATCTTCATCGTTAGTTTTGCATCTGTGCTACGGATGATCATCACGATGTGATCTCCTTACGTAACACTGCTCCGCTTTGCAATATTTGCATAGCTATTGTTGCGTCTGCCCTGCAGGGCCCGTTAGTTGGATACTGGACGTTCCCTGGTGTGCTGAGCCTTGTGCAACTTCTCTTGGAGCCGAATCCAGGTGCTGCTTAACACCCAGAGACACACTACCCGAAAGGAGCAACCATGATAAAATGTACAAGGAACTAGGGCGGTGCTTTTTAAAAAACTTTAAAAATGTATTTTCTGCAATTAATAGAAGCCGGACACCAACAATTAAACAGGGGAAGCTCCATCCCTGTTTATCTCTTGCTCAGGACCACTTCTAGTGCTGTAATTGCTTTATTAGGGCCAACTCAGAGATCCTAAAAAACATGCAAGCTTTTGAGTTCTACAGGTTGCTTCAGCAGGTAAGATATTATGAAAAACAGGTTGTCCAGGGGATAGGAGTGGTGAGCCAACTGTCCCAGCTACACCATTTATTTATCTATTTAAAATTTTTCTATGCCGTCCATTATTTTAAAAAGTCTCTGGACGGCTTACAAGGAAGGAACCATCCAATCAGCCTTTCTCTCTCTTTCCTAATCTGCTAGTGTAGGACCTTGTCTGGTGAAGAGATTCAGCGATCTCAAATGCCTGCACAATTTTTGTGATTCTTGAGTTTGTCCAATAAACGTAGTATATGGTGTTTGGATCCCTCCCCCCCAACTCTTATACCTAAAGTTGCTGCTGGTAGAGTGCTTTTGTATTTGATTTCTTTGTATTCAGCAGTGGTTAATGCTATAGGAACCAGGTCAGTAAACAAACTGGCAAAATAAAAACAACTAAGGAATCTCAAAACAAACAAAAGATGGAGAGGGGAAATTAATAGAACAAGTGAAAGAAAAATAACTTTGGGGAAAAAAGGACACATCAGTATCTTAACCGGACTGACCCCCCCCCCAATTCCTCTTGGGGAAAAATGGCAAGTCTACAAATGACTTTACAAGTTGAAACAAAGCCAACTCCTTTCTTCTTTTCTTAGTGGCAGGTGCAGGAGCTTGAAGATATTGTACGTGAAAAGATGCACACATTCTAAAAGGATTTGCAGTGGATGCATCTCAGGGGACAGGTGTGCAAATGCAAAGGTGCCCCCTTTGGGCATTCGGAGCACCCGGCCTTTGTAGCCACCCTGACTCCAGATGTTTTCTTTTCTTTAAATGGAACGAAATGGAAATGCTCATTTTCTAGTCTAAAGGAGGTGAGTTAAAAGGCAGCAAATCAACAGGTACACTGTACTTTCTTGCCCCTCCATGGAAGAAAGCTGTATGGTTACATTTCCACTTGGTATGAAGTTGTTAAGGGCAATTTTAATTATGTGTGAGAGAGAGGGAGAGGGAGGGAGAGAAGCAGGATTTTGTAGCTTTAAGAAGAAGGATTTTATACGGAAATCTATTCCAGGCCTAGGATGGGAGAAATACCCCAG